GAAACTGCAAGTTTTTTTAGTAGAGAGTCTATTAGTTACAGCTATACATCTTTATTAATACCTTTATTGGTGCTATTTCAAGAGTTAGGACTCTGTTTTTATTTTTGACTAGGAAAGTAGGCTGAATTTATAAGTGAAATATTGCTTGTAAAAAAGATGTTTGATAAGGGGAAAATATAAATTTCGGGATATACTTAATGATAACATGCTAAATTTTTATTCTTAGGAACCAGTAAATTAGAAAGAAAAATTGAGTTACCTCAAAAATAATATACTATTTGATTTTTTATCACTATTTTGAATAATTAAATGTTTGCGTCCAACATTCTATTTAGTTCAGCCTCTCAGTACACAATTGAGGAAACTCTAAGCCTGGAGTAACTGAGCACTGAATAGTTAAATGGTTTTCACAGATAGGAAAATCAAAGGAGGAAATAGGTATAGCTGTGGTATGTTTGTTCCCATTCTCTGGCTCTTTCCATAGGTTCATCAAAAAGAACCTCGTTTTTCATTAGAATTTTTAGGTGATTAGTACTTTAGTGACAATTCCTAAATTTCTAATTAACATGGTCCTTGTAACTAAAACCTTTAATGTCCTTGTTAAATGTGCCTTCATTTTAGGTGTAAAATTTACAGCAGTGGTATGCGATTTTTTTTTTGGTGGGGGGGTTGGTGCTCTTTTGGAGTATCTGAAAAAAGCTGTGGACACTCAACCCCAGAAAAGTGCACATACACACAAAATGTGTTATCTAGTTAGGGAGGTCATGGTCCTTCTGACATTGTGTATGACCTCGGTTTGTGGAATCCTGCTTTAAAGGAAAATGGCTTCACTCAGCAAGTTCTGTTTAAATTTTATTTTGGTTGTGTTAACTTACTCTGAAAAAAATCCCAAGTGGTGATTATATTGGTTATTTTGCAAAGGTGGTAGTATTCATTACCGGGCAGATATTATAGGGGTATGATTGTACTGTAACAGTATAGTTTTCCAGCTGAGCAAAGCAAGTATTTTATTGGCATGAACAGAGCTCTTGCGATCTATCTCACTGCTATAATAAGGCAGAAGCTGTTCTCAACAATAATTTGAGTCTCTTGTTAAATGTAGGTTAGAAAGTTCCTTCTTGGCTATTAATTCTATATGCTCTGTAAAAATACAAATTGGTAATGTTCAGTATACCAGTGTGTCAAACCAATATAATAAATGTGCATTTAATTAATGTAAAATGTCTGGTCCCCAAATCATATATTTATATTATCATATCTCTAGGTTATTGCTCTAAATGAAAGACATTTTAAGTTAATTTCTAATAATATCTTTATTTCGTATTTGCATGTCTAATTTTCTTTCAGGAGTATATTTTGAAAAAGTTTTAAAGAGTTCAGACACTTCCCTTTGGGTGAGAAACATTCAAATGTATCTATCAGGGATTGTTGTGACATTAGCTGGCGTCTACTTGTCAGATGGAGCTGAAGTTAAAGAAAAAGGATTTTTCTATGGTTACACATATTATGTCTGGTTTGTCATCTGTAAGTATCCAGGAATTAAAGCTTCTGGGTAGATCTTCTTTTTAAAGTTAGATGTCCATTTTAAGCCTTTATAGCATTTTGAAATTGTTCCTTTGACACTGTGAACACCAGTTTGAAAACGTAATTTTGGTTTTATTGATTTTTGTGGTGTAGCTATCCCAAAGCAATTTTGCCTTCACAATCAAAAGTATCTAATGTGTTGGCAAGAAATGTGTATAGTTTCGTAGTAGACCACAGAGCCCTTCGGGCATCTGAAAAACAATGTTGTTTTGTAGCAACTACTACTCAATTTTAGTACAAACTCTCTCAGATGGCTGCTTCTATGGAATAGTATTTTCCTAGGTAAATTAGTATGGCATCTCTGGGGATGAAAACTGACTCGCCATCCTAGAAGGCTTCATTTATTTGGGTGTTAAGATTTTCTTTCTTTCTCTATACAAGTTCTTGCGAGTGTTGGAGGCCTCTACACCTCTATTGTGGTCAAGTACACAGACAACATCATGAAGGGCTTTTCCGCAGCAGCAGCCATCGTCCTTTCTACCATTGCTTCAGTGATGCTGTTTGGATTACAGATAAGTATGTCTTAGTTTGTACTGTTAACTTTTCAACATGGAAGAGCTTCTCACTTCCTTGATTCATTTTATCTTGGATTAAATATGGCAGTTGGTCTTAGTGTTCACAGAAATTCCTAGTTTTGTTACAATTTATTCTACAAGGAGAGCAGTTCATAGTTGTGTGCTATGTGAGTCAGCACTTCTTGGGGTGTTGAAATGTTCCTAGAGCGTAAGCTGAGGGTGTCAGTTCTGAGTGAGTGAGGGCGTTCCTCAGTTACTGGGAAGAGCTTTCTCGCAGTCAAGGCCTCCCTGTTCCCCAGGCATTAGGCACATGACAACGGAAGTGCTTCAGGGTGAATACAGTGTGATTAGGTACGCAAAGAAATAAATATAAGGACTTTAGGAAATGATTCCTTTCTGCAGTACAATTAAAGTATTTAAGCTTTTTATTTTGAGGAAAGAGCAGAAAATCTCTTTTATTTCCCCCTTAGTTTGTACCTTCTCTTTTGGAGTTGGGTGTGAACTGGTTTTGAAACTAAAATCCAAATGTGAATTTTCTTTTCTCTTCTATAAAGGTGTCTTTGTTTCATTTAATACGTAATTAAGACAAAATTCATTACGGTAGCTGGCATTCTGGCATCACTGATATACTATTCCTTCTAATATAATTTTCCCTAGCCCACATCCAGCATTAAGTTGGCTTCTGAATTATTTAAGCAGTGATGTTGATTTAACATTTCAGGGTGCTTTTATGCTTAATAATCATTTTCTTTACTGATCAATTATACCATAAACTAATACATGAGGAAAATCTGTCAAATAGCCACATTAAATACAAGAAACAGACCTGGCCTATATTTACATTTCATTTTAAAATTGATCCTTGTTATACATGCAAATAGAGGAATGCCAACCTTGTAGAAATCTTAGAAAACCATTTTATAGCTGTGCAATCTTTGAGAAGTTACTTAACCTATGTCTCAGTTTCTTCAGCTGTAAAATGGGAATGACAGTTATCACCCATCTCCTAGGGTTGTTTCAGGTGAAGTGCTTAGAATACTGCCCGGCACATAGTAAGTACTCTGTGGAAAGCCAGCCACTTACCATGTCAGTGTCAGGTACTATAGGCTCTGCTCTAGATGTTTTTCTGACCTGATTTGGGTGAAGTTTCAATTGTAGTTCTGGACCATCTTTATGCTCAACAAATCCTTATGCCTTTGCTCCTAAGGAATATTTGGGAACAGTATAAAATGCTTTTTGGTCAATGTTCTGTCTTACTGATGGTCAGGGAAATTAATTAGAATGTCTTAGCAATCTTCCAGTTTCCTATTTAGATTTAATTTACCTCCTTCTCCTTTTTTGAAGACAAAGCTGGTCTTTTCTAGTTAGGACACAGCTTGATGTCATTTCTCTGCATGTCATTTTTAAAGCTATTAAGACTGTGCCATTGTCCTCCATGGAGAATACAGTTCAGTTTTGAACAGGACGTACAGTTTTGAAGTAGATTTTGACACGAGCATTTATTTTAATATGCCTACTTGTCAAGTTTGACAAGTTATAATTTAGTTTTTTGTGTCTTGATTTTTAGAATTAAGATGGAAAAAAGACAAGGCTAGCAGAAAATTGGATTTTATTCAGTAAATCACCACCTCCTTTCCTATTCAGAAATCTTCAGTGGTTTGAATCATTGGTCACTTAACTGTTTGAATTTTGCCCAACTACCTTTTGCCTTAAATTTTCTCAGGTTTCTAGTATCATGGAAAAGCCACATTCCACTGCCTTTAAAAAAAAAAAAAAATCAGTATATAGGGAAGTTAGTGTGTTCTTTGTCAGAGTGGTCCAGGGCAGCCATACTTGTGTTCTTGAAAAGGGTGTAGTCAGTGATTGTCACTCCCTTGATTTTACCACTTTTTCGGGGCAGGGGGGCGGTGGGTAGCGCATGGGGTGGTGGGGAAGACTAGAATTGATGACCTTTCTAACCTTATATCATAAAAGTATAACATTTAGATTGATTTATTTTCCATGTGATCAGATGTAAATCTACAATTGAAAGTTCAAAATTTTAAGTTGATTGTTGTTATATTATTTTAAAGACACCAATACACAGTAAGACTTTTTTCTCCCCTTTTCAGCACTCACCTTTGCTCTGGGTGCTCTTCTCGTCTGTGTTTCTATATATCTCTATGGATTACCCCGACAAGACACTACATCCATCCAACAAGGAGAAACAACTTCAAAAGAGAGAGTCGGTGTATGATTTCAGCCTCAAAAGAGATTCCTACTAAGACTACACTATTTGCATTAAACTAGAGCCTTAAGTCAATCCCAGAAGGTAGCTTAAACAAACAAAAGCAACAAATTAACTGAGTGGCATAAGAATTAAGAAGAAAGCTATCTGAGTGAATTGCTACAAAGATTTAACATGACCTGTTTGGGGTCAACCCGTTTTGTTTTTAAATGAAGGAATTATATTATTGTATATATAATGTACATACAAAGTATGGAGAGGATATGGTGTTAATAAAAATCATGTGAAGCTACAATATTCAAAGTCACAAAGTTTGGGACAATGTTAAGGGTTAAAGTGCCAAAGCCATTTCTGTATTAACTGTTCTCTTGTTCAGGTACCGGGGAGAAGGATGACCCCTCCTTGTTCTCCAGCTCACATATAGTATTTTGTCGCAGCATCAGTAAAGACCTAGCTCTTTTCTTACAAAAGAGAGCAAAAATAAGACAGGCTAGTTCAGAAACAAACTGAATGTGTGACTTCTCAAACTGAATCTATTTCGTAACTCAGACAGTGATTTCTGGGTGTGACTGAGTACTCCTTTCAGTGCTGTATTTGTGCCATTCATTGTCTGGATTCATATTTCTTTGCTGTTAGATGATATACTTTTCTTCAAAAAATATTTCTAATGTCACTTTTGTACTTTTTTTTATAAAGTATGTTTAACTGTTGGGCTCTCAATAATTTGTGAAATTTCAGTGTTTTTAAAAAAATTTCTATAGAATGTTAATAGGGAAATTCAGCAATAAACTTAATTTATATGAAATCTGTTCGATCACTTTTTGTTCTGTAGATATGACCATTAAGGTAATGCAAAACCAAACCGACAAACCCAAAACATGAAATTTTTAATTCTTCCTGTGTTGGAATTGTATCAGTTTGAGTTCTTTGGTTGCAAATGATAGCTGTAAACCACCTCCAGCCAGCCGTAAGCAAAAACAAGTTGATCAGGAGGACTGCAGTCAGGGTTGTAGGGCTCTAGGGTGTCAGGATTAATGAACAGTCTGTTCAGGGAGCTGCTTTTGGAAAGACCTGGCTTTAATCATCACCGTCCCAGGTCACTTCACTCAAGATTCAAATACTGAGGAGGCTCCCACACTCTGGGAAGGAGAACATTTCTCCAAAGAAGTGGAGAGGGATACTGAACATGTAAAACATGTCCCAACGGTACATTTTTATTACACGGCTGGTTTGCTAAGGAAATTTTAATGATATTTTAAGTAGAAAATCAGCAGTCTGGAAGCTAATTCACTTAAAATTGAGACTGCACGGATGAGTCTTTTCTAGGACTAAGAAGTATACCATACTTGCCAATACAAAGCTATGTTCATTCAACTAGAGAAGCTTTGGTTCACGCCAACTTGCTTCTCTATTTGTAAAACTAGACACTCATTGGTATTCAGAGGACATCTTGTAGCAACGTTTGGAATGAACTGTAGCAAACGTAAATGGAAATGCTGGCAGATGAGGAGAGCTGTACTGATCAAACAGAACAGAGCCTACTCACGTTACCTAAATAAATCCTACAAAGTATACTTGACCCATATGGTAGATACATGAAGGAAACAGTTTAAGAAACTCCATTTAAAATTATGGTTTAACTAATGGACTAATTTTTATAAAAAGATTCTAATACAATACCTGTACAAGTAATTCCTTGCTATTCAAATGTCCTCAGTTCCTGAGTTCACATAGTAAGAGTTACCTGTATATATCAACAAAAAGATAAGCAACAAGATCTGTTCTCTGGAAGTAGTTGTCAGCTGTATTGGCAAAAAGGCTTGATTTTAGTCCCCCTGAATTTATTCAGAACTAGCCATAATTATAAGAAAACTGAGATTTTTTTCTTCATCAATTTTATTTGATGAAAATATTAGATCACTTCAGTTACAAGAATAGTTTCTGGAAGAATAACATTGTAAGAAACCTCAAGCTAGAGTTTAAACTCTAATCCTTTATCCTCATTAGACCACAATGAATTTTAAAAGATTTAGCTTAGTGTTACAAAAATCTGTTTAGTACATATTGACCATGAGGGAACTCCGATGATTTCTTTTGTAGGGGTAAAGATTTAATAAGTTGATAAATCACTTAGACTTAATAAAATATAGATTCTGACACAGAATGATAGTTTAAATTCTATTCTAAACAGCAAGGCATATAAGAATAGATAACTAGAATTCAAAAAGCCATTTTAATTAGAAATTACATCCTACATACAGGTGTTATTCCAAGAAGTTTCATTCCGTTGGCTAGGACAGAACGGACAGCTCTGAAAAGATGAAGTCTGGCCTACAAAATAAATCAAAGAATTATTAAGTGTTTAATTCAGTAACAGGCTAGCTATAAGTGAATAAGAGTGTATTTAAAAGTAATTCTAACTTTCTTCTAATTAAGTAGGAACAATATCTCAGTGCCCGAGGGTTTGCTGTGGGCAAGGGAAGACAAATCCCTAGAGTCCCTTGTAATAAGGCTGGCACCCACGGGCTGGGGAGCGGGGGTCACGGGGTCATGAGACAATACAGCCACAGGTAAAGGGACTCATCACTCTAACACTTGATGTAGGAGAATGTGTTTCAGAGTCTAGTATGTTGTAAAGTAAACACTGATGGTTAGAGCCCAATTCTAATTATTACCTGAATCTATAAGTACTTTGCTGTAGTTGAACAACAGGATACCATTTTAGAAACATTTACAAGACTGACTCAGTAAGCTAGCCTGAGGATGCCAGACATTACACAGAAAACACCCAACCTACCCCGGCCACTTCAGGAGGACTGTCTTTTACGTGCAGTGTTTTGTGTGCCACAGCTGCAAGATGACTGACACGGGAAAAGAGAAATCATGGTTAGGACCAGCAGTAATTTCCTGTTGTAACCTATCAGCTTGATAACTAATCCTACTCTCTCACCTTACAGATAAAGAAATCAAAGCCTAGAGCCAGTGAAGGATGTATCCAAAGTTGGAAAGCTGAGACTGGAATTCACTGCTTTTCTACAATAGGCAAAGTAAAACACACTCAACTTAAGCTTTAGATTTTGGTCCTGATTCTACTAATACCAGGTGGCAAGTTCTTAAGATTATGATTTCGATCCTGTTAGTTTTACAACTATGAAGAATTCCTTTCTAATTAGTTTTTCCTCAGTTAGGTGCCCTTTACAAAGATGGAAAGTATAACGTGCCTGGCCTTTCCCCGTCTGTACGGTGAGGAGGTGGAGTAGAGACTAGCCGTCACTCCACTGCACACACACTGCCACTTTTCTTTAAAGTATCTTTTCTCTTCAGGAATGGCAAGTAGAACAATGTGCCAGAGAAATGATGCTTTTATGACATTTGTCTCAATGATTAAGTGACCTTTAATAAGACTTTCTGACTTTTTCAACTCTACGTGTCTAAGTGGAAATTAAAGGAAAAAAAATCTTATTTAAATCTGGGGAAGACAAGGTAAAAAGCATAATCAGGAAAACAATACCAGTAAATCTCTGATTTCAGTATGTCTTAAGTAAAAGAAACTATTTCTTTTCTTAATTAGCGTTATGGGAAGACCCAGCCATCGCCATAGAAGGGCAGACTCAACTTCTATTGGAGTTTCTACAACAGCTCCTGTGGAGTCTTTAGCGAGTGTCACTGACTCACTTCCCAATTCATTCTCTATCCTCTAGCTGACTGATTTTTCTGCGCCTCTGCTTAAAACCTTTTTATGGACGCCACTGCCCTGAAAATAAATCAAAATACCTTAGTGCATGGCAAAAAGGCCTATATGTGCTTCATTTCTCATCCCTGCCAGGACGATGCTTGTAGTTCCTTTAATGCATCATGTTTTTGTTCAACTTTGGGCTTTTTCTGCCTCCTCTGCCACCTTGCTTCTCCTGATTAATAGCTCATCCTTTCCTCCGCAAAGCCCTCTCTGATTCCTCAAGGCTGGGCTGAGTGCCCTAACATTGTCTCTTACGTCCACTCTATTATAACACATATGCACTGCTCTATAACCACCTATGACAAACTGTTGGTTCCCACTCACTGGACTATAGTGACTGTACCTTATATCACTGAACAAATGAATGAACATTAATTACTAATTTGCAAAGATGAAGCAAGAATTCCTGTAACTTAAAGCACATAATTTTTTAGGCCAAGGGGCTTGCTTATAGGAAACTTTTAGATGAAAGAAAGGTCCTTTGTCAGATCAGTCTTGAATGTCTTTTAACACCTGAAAATAGCAGGACAATAAAGTACCTTAGAGTCAGAAGGTAACTGACAATGTGCCTGGGTTGAAGGTCCTGAGATGACCTATAAAGCACCTCGTCGAACCTAAAAGAAAGATGACAGGAGCAGTTGGCAGGGGAACACTGCTCATATTATACTGAGCTAAGATGCTAAGACAAAGGTCTAGGATGCAAGGTTGACTTGACATCATTAAGGGGAGATGGTATAGGAAAAAAGACCTTGCGTACCTTTGAAAGTAAAGGCACACTTTTCTTTCTTACAAATTCCTTGATGGCAGCTATGTTCTAAAACATCTTCATATCCCTTAAGCCTAGCCCAGAGCAAGGACTCAAATATGGCTGTTAAATGGAATGTAAACAGTCTCTAGCCATGTTTAGGGACATAATCTAGAAACGAGCAAATACAGTCTACCCTCAATGCCAAGAAAACCTGGTTGGCTTATTTTTCCTCACAAATTAGCCAAATGTGAGCAAACTAACTCCTGATCCCAGGCAAGAACCACTGGCCATTGTGTGGCAATCAGAGAAAACTGCCTTGTGAACCAGCCACATCCGTTCCAGAGACTAATCTCTCCGGACAAGTCTGGCTTCACCAATAACACTTGTGAGAAGAACTCAAAGGTGTGGGCCCTTGCTGAGTGCAGGGGCATTAGACAGACATGTATTTGAGACTGTGAATTGAAACCAAGAGGCAAATGAAGGACTTATGGTCTCAGCGAATCTGCACCAAGGCAGGATTTTCCTTTATTTATCACAGAAGGCGAGAAGATGATCTTTTCCAAAACTAAAAGGTTATGCTTTTACCAGGCTTTACATTCACATACCATGACCTAGAGGACATTAGGCACCTGGGCTAATTCAGCAGTGATAATAATTTTAAGACCTAAGGAGTGACCTTGAGCATGCTCTCTGTCTGCCCTCAAAGGGCAGACAATCACTTTTGGGTCATACCTTCAGGAAAATGCTGTCTAGAGACAGGAGACAGGAGGCCTGTTCACTCCAGTGGTCAGTAAACCACCAGCAGTCATTTCACTAGTGGAAGCTGACTTGATAATACTAGGCACTCATACCTGAGAAGGTGCTGGAGAATTGAAACAGACTGTGGCTCTTGTAAACAAGCAGTGTTGCAGTCATTTAGATAACCACATCCAAAAGTCTCTTCCAAACTGTCATCAAAAGTTTAAAAATAAGAAAGGATTAAACGAGTCATCCAACCACACATAATTGCAAGTGACGAAGACCATGTCAGAATACACAGTCCTGCTCTCCCTAACATAGCCCTAGGCTTTGAAGCTAACATCGTTTGACTTGATGCCTCAATTTCCCCTAAATCTGTTTCTTCACCTGAAAATGGAGTATATTCTTTGGCAGGGTTATTCTGAGGACTAAATAAGGTAATATACATAAAAGCATTTCTTATGTAGGCACTTAATAAATAAATATTCTAAAACCCCCCAAAAACCCGATGTAACAGGAGGTCCACTGTACTTTAACTAGTTTTGAATATGGATGCTGGAGAAGCCCAGAAAACAAGACTTTGGTCTTAGGACCACACTAGCTAAACCCCACCCTGGGGAAGGTCCACGGGGCCCAGGGTTTCCCTGCAGCCTCCTGTACCTGTGGAGGCGGGCGTGCGTGTACTGTAGGAAGACTCCTGTGTCCCCACGACTCTGGAAAACACGATCCCAGCTGAACTGATAGTCAGATAAGAGTAAACCTTTGAAGTCCTAAAACGACAGAGTAAAGCTTCAGTGCTGGGGTTTGTTCTAGTACCAAAAAAGGGCTCAGAGGAAGGAGTGTAAACAGACCTGAATGATGAGCGCTGCCAGCCCGACCCTCTCTGCCGTCTCCTGTGGGTTCTCGAGTTCTTTGGTTGCTGAAACAGGCAAGGCAACTACCTTTAATGTGTGTGAATCTACAGAATCAGGGATTAAAGTGGAGATAAAATCTGCCAAACGTGTATGAGGACAGCGTCAAGAACAAATAGGTTCACAGTGGGCAATTTACTTTCCTAATTTAAGCTGATTTACCTTTGATAATGACATTTCCCCTGCCAACATTAAAGAGGAAGAAATACAAATTTATTTTTCTTATAAATATCCCTTGTAAGACATTAGACATAGCTGGTACTTATTTTCCCAAGGGTGAAAGTCAAACAAAGCCATAAGGACTCGTGACTTGTATCCAGTTAGATAACACAGGAGCTTTGCACAACCACTCCAGCAAGAGAATGACAGTGCTGAAGCTGTCCATGAACAGAGGCCCAGGGTTCTATCAATTTATTTATTTATTTATTTTTTTAAAGATTTTATTTTTTCCTTTTTCTCTCCAAAGCCCCCCCGGTACATAGTTGTATATTCTTCGTTGTGGGTCCTTCTAGTTGTGGCATGTGGGACGCTGCCTCAGCGTGGTTTGATGAGTAGTGCCATGTCTGCACCCAGGATTCGAACCAACGAAACACTGGGCCGCCTGCAGCGGAGCACGTGAACTTAACCACTAGGCCACGGGCCCAGCCCCGGTTCCATCAATTTAGATGACTGAAGTGAACAACCACGCAGTAATTCTAAAAATTCTAGCACCTCTAATTAGTGCAAACTATTTTTGACAAGGTCAGTGGAAAGTCAGTGGAGGAACGGACATAATAAAGGACACTGCACAAAAGTCCAGCAAAACAAAAGTGGTACATAAGCTATGACTGTAACAACAAAAAAGTGAATTCACTCTTAATAGAAGCCATGTTCTGTAGCATCCTTAATTGGATCTCATTTAAAACATCTTCCAGAAAAGTAACATCTCCTCTTCGAGTCTTCATTCCTTGTACTACTCCAAAGGGCACGTGCTGGCACCTGAAATGGTGTGGGCATTTAGTTCATGGGAAACAAGAAAGAAGCTGGTGATCAAAGTATATAATAATATCCTTTCAGAGAGTAATTTTAACTTTATCTCTTATAGATAGATTTTTTAAAAGTTAATAAATTGAAATAGAATGTAATTTGTTGTGTGTCACAAAAGATGTTAGACACACAGCTTTATTTCATAGAGATAATCACTAGCACATGATGAAATTACTAGTTGCCTTTATGGAAAAAAGGAGACGGTGATTAAGAATTTTGAAAATCAAGCCACTGAGAGCAGACGTCTAATAACACATTTATTAAATGTTTATAAGCTAGAAATTAATATAACCAGGGCATAAATTAACGCAAAAAACAAATCTGCTTTTTCACACCAACAGCTTGAAACAAAGAAGTGATATTTGCATGAAAATCTTCAACAACCTGGTACATTTTTGGACTTGGCTGACCTAACAAAGCTTTAACGATCCTGAGCAGGCAATTAAGAACCAAGCAGCCGTTACCTTTCTGCCCAATCATATCCCATGATCTGCAGCAGCTGGAATACTTGCTGAAAATGCTTTTTTTGCCCTTTATCTGTCTTGGGAAGAAAATGTATTTAAAATAAAAGAACAGTGATAAGTTAATCTACTTAAATAGGTTGGACATGAATCAAATTAACATACGTGAGCTTTGACAGATGAGAGTCATTATCAACTGATACACTTCAAACACACAAAGAGGATGCCACTAGAAGGACGTCTCGGCTGAGGGTTCTGCAACAGGAAATAAGAGCTGCAGCACCCCACTGAGTCAGGAGGAAATACGAACTATCTTCTTAATATTCCATTTAAATTCCTTCTCTCTCAGCTGCTATGAACTTTACCTCCAAGAAGGCCAAAGCTATGCTCTAAACAGATATTTAATGGCAAGTGTTTTTCTTAGGAGAAAGGGAGGCTGCACATGGAAAGGAAGGAAAGGGAAGAAGAGACTAGATACTACTTGGCACGCAAGGGCATTCGCTATGCTGAGTGAAAAAAGCCAGTCTCAGATTACCTACTGTATGATTCCATTTGTGTAACATTCTCAACGTGACAGAACTGCAGTACGGAGACCACAGCGGTGGCTGCCAGGGGTTAGGGTTGCGGGGAAGGTGTGACTATTAAGTGGTTGCCATGATGGAGTGTGTTTTGTGATGGAACAGTTCTGCATTCTCAATGTGGTGATGGTTACACAAATCTAAACATGTGATAAGATTTCATAAAACCACAAACACGCCAACATCCACGTCCTCTCACAAGAACATGTAAAAATTGGTGAAATTTAAATAAGGTCTCCAAGAATGTTAATTTCCCAGTATTGACAAAGTACTATGGTTATGGAAGATAGTATCTTTGGGGGAAGCTGAGTGAAGGGTACATGGAAACTCATGCTATTCTGAAACCTCTTGTGAGTCTTAAAAGATTTAAAATAAGTTATTTTTTAAAAAATGCATTATAGTGACTGTACACATTCATTCTACACAGCCATCTTCCTGATTGGGTAATTTTTTTTTACTATGAAGCAATGTGAACTTTTTTCATTTTTAAGTGTTTTTTAGAAAATATATATAGTGGTTGCCACCTTAAATATACCTAACATTGAATTCTTTCTATAGTTTGACAAAATTATTTTCCCATAGTTTTCAGTGTGGCATCCAACTTCTATCTCTGCAGTTTCACGAGGCAGGGGTCATAACCTTTTGTTCTTTATTGTGATTACTTACCACATAAATCATTCTATCAAAATGATACTTGTCCATTCGATCTATAGCAGCTGCAAGATCTCTAAAAAATTGGCCATAAATCAAGAGTTACTAAGCAGATCTGGGTAACAATTTGTTTTACTATTTAATAGTAATGAGGCTTTTCTAATTAAGAACTCCTATTATCCCACAGCCTGGGGTACACTATCCATTGCTTATATAATCCTAATACCATGCCTTGATACAGAGTAATAACAAAAATAGCTTTGGGGAAAGCAATACCAATAAAAGTGCTATGAAAAGTAATAAAACAAAAATAAATAAAAGCTCTGGGACAAGTAATAACTAAAATAGCTCTGGGCAAAGTGTCTATAGGTAAACGTTTATGATTTGTTAATTAAGCCTCTACTGGAAAGAACCACCTGTCACTTTTCTGCAAGACACTCTCTTAAAGGACACATTGAAAACACAGGTGATGTAGAGCTAAATGGGGACCCTCCAGCTACTCTTCTAGTAGTACTAGCAAGGACTTTCACAGTCTTGGATGAGTCATGAGCAATTCTTCCTAAGGTATTTTAAAAGATCATAAAGTCCTTTGGCAAAAATCCCACTTATCTCTTTTCTCTCTCATTAAATACAAAATACTCAGTTTGCATGTAGTATGAAATAATGACAAATAAACCATAAACTATGAAATTTCAAGTCAAGATTATAGAAATACTGAAATTTAAAACTAAAGCTATTTTTGACTAATAACATATGACACTGGGAGGATTTAAGAAGTTCCTACATCTTTTGAAATGTTCAGGATCATCAAAATGTCATTAGTATCTACCTCATTAAAATTAAATTATTTTAATATTAAAATTTCACGAGGGTGAATAAGTAGGAAAAATATAGCATTTTCAGCCTTTTGGGCTCCTGAGACATGTTATAGTAATAATAATAATAATAATAATAATAATAATAATAATAATAGATTGTGAAACACTGGTATAGAAGATTATCCCAAAAATGAAGTCATAAATATACCCCCCCAATTATATTTTTTGGTTTGAGCCAAGAACAAAACAAAGAGAAATCTTTTGATCTGATGAAAGACTAAAAGAGAAGAAAATAAGAAAAAGTTCTAGGTTGAGTTTGTAGAACCTGAATTTGAAAGCCAAAGAAAAGCCAGGTCTTTTAGTCCAGATCTCTCCTTTCACAAAGTAGGGAACCAGGGCCCAAGAGGTCAAGTGATGGCCATGGTCTCAGAACAAAAAGGCCAGGTCTCCAGCCTCACCCTGCGCTCTTGTTAGTATTTTCCTGCACTTCTCTGTGTCTTTTATAAAAACTGCTTTAATTCACATCAACACACATAGATGTATTCTATAAGAAACCCACAGAAAGGGCAGAAACAGCTAAAGTTAAAGTAAGGTGAAAAATCAAACATTTCAACAAGTGGCAAAAAGACAATTATTCTCCCAAAGAAAAAAGAGAAAGTATAGTTGTTAAGATAAATACACAGAAAAATCTAGACCTAATGACAGCTCAGAAAAGATACCACATCAGGATAGTTACAGTGTTTATGACAATGGAGCCTCTGTTCTGAGCAGATACATTTCTTATAACCACTGCTCCAGGGTGTCTTTATTTAATCTGTCCAGTGATGGTTAACTGGCACAAAAATTTCTCCACTATAGATTTTTTTGTATCTAGAAAAGTAAATGTACCTCTTAGATATATAGGTTCTTCTCACTTCCTAACCTCAATTGTATGGAACTGATAAATGGAAATGTCAAAAAGTAACAGAAAGTAAGAGATTAATTTCTAAGGAACAATAAGAGAGCTGGATGGTTGTTCAATGTTGTTTGGGACAAGTGATAATAATTAACAACAATAAAATGTCATTACTTTAACTATGCTACAAAAGTGGTTTCTGATCTAACCTAAACTCTGGCCTGGGACACACTACAGCCTTCTGCCAGCAGGGCTTGAGTATGGCTGCATTTACTTGTGTGGCTTCTTCATTGTCCTGTCTTCTCCTTCCTATTAGCTTTGTCCTGGAAGTAAGTGTGCTTGATAACCCAGTTCTCACTGATTAATAGAGACTGCTCCTTTCCACAAGGTCAGTCATAGAGACGAATAAAAAAATATAAGCGATGTGGCCTACTTCTTCCTTGGCCTATTTTACCACAATCAGAATGAGGTCTGGTACTTATGTCCATGTAAGATGGTTTTTACAGAGTGAGGACACCACTGAGCCAATAGGTCTGCCTTCTAGGATTCACTTCCTGCCAATACGCAATTTTAAAATACTTACAGTTGATTATGAGGTACCTCCATTTTATAGTTTGTAGAACAATGTATTTAGCTGTGGAAATCCTATGATGTTTAACTCATTTTAAACAGTTTTTCATTCACTTTTCTGATGATATTAAACCTTTACAGGAACTATAACTGGCAATAAATAGAAACTCAATAAATATTTTTTGAGTGGTGAGAATAAGAGTTTTAGAAATTAGGATTTGGTAACAGTTTCAAGGATAAAATGACTGTCTTAGCATTAATCCTAGAACAAAGAACACGAAGTCATATACACATTCTAATGCTGACTTTCACAGAAGATACAAACCTGGTTGCATAGAGAGAAGTCCCATCGCTTCGCATTACAGTACAAATCGAGGAGGGGTCACCATTCCCAGAAAGATCCACTACAGCTGTTCCTTTTCTGGAAATGCAAAGAAGTAACTGAAGTAATATAATAACACCTTTAAAAGTATAATATCTATAACATAATCTTTGGCAAAGCGGAAGCTATTTTTATTACTCAAGTACCAATAGGTGGTGTAACCAATAACGAAGAAAAACAAGGAGGAATATGACCTACATCTATTAAGAGTGGGTATAATGTAATTAATTAAGATTTGGTTATCCTATATATTTCTTTATTGTATTTATTTTTTTTGCAGGGAAAGATTCACCCTGAGCTAACATCTATTGCCAATCCTCCTCTTTTTTTTTTTATTGCCTCCCCAAAGCCCCAGTGCATGGTTGTATATCCTAGTTGGTAGTCCTTCTAGTTCTTTGGTGTGAGCTGCTGCCACAGCACGGCAACTGACAGATGGGTGGTGTGGTTCCACGACTGGGAAACAAACCTGTGCTGCCAAAGCAGTGAGAGCCCTGAACTTTAACCACTAGACCCTCAGGGCTGGCTCTGGTTATCCTATATTTTTAAATCTGTAGCTCTGGATAAAGTACTTAGATAAAATCTTTAATATACACCACTGGAAAATGAGATTTCAACTGCACTTTAACCATGAAATATACTCTTTTTTTAATTAAAAAAATTTTTTTTATTGAGTTCATAAAGTTTACATCAACGTGAGATTCCAGTTGTACATTATTTCTTGACTATCACCACATAAGTGCTCCCCTTCACCCCGTGCCCACTCCCCACCCCCCTTCCCCTGGTAACCACTGAACTCTTTTCTTTGTCCATGTTTGTTTATATTCTGTATGAGTGAAATCATCTGATGTTTGTCTTTCTCAGCCAGGCTTATTTCGCCAAGCATTATTCCCTCCAAGTCCTCCCATGTTGTTGCAAATAGGATGAATTTGTCATTTTTATGGCTGAGAAGTATTCCATTGTATGTCTATATATATATGTGTGTGTGTGTGTGTGACCTCTTCTTTATCCAATCATCAGTCGATGGGCACTTGGGTTGTTTCCATGTCTTGGCTATTGTGAATAGTGCTGCAGTGAACGTAGGGGTGCCTATGTTACTTTGGATTGTTGATTTCAAGTTGTTTGGGTAGATACCCAGTAGTGGGATAGCTGGGTCGTGTGGTAGTTCTATTTTCAGTTTTTTGAGGAATCTCCATACTGTTTGTCCATAGTGGCTGCACCGGTTTGCATTCCCATCAGCAGTATATGAGGGTTCCCTTTTCTCTATTTTGATTCTAGTTTCTTTTGTCTTGCAGAAGCTCTTTAGTCTAATGAAGTCCCACTTGTTTTTCTTTTGTTCAGCTTGTCTGAGATGACATGGTACTCGAAAAGATTCTTTTAAGTTCAATGTCAAAGAGTGTACTACCGATATGATCTTCCAGGAGGTTTTATGGTTTCAGGATTTATCTTCAAGTCTTTGATCCATTTTGAGTTTATTTTTGTGTATGGCATGAGATAATGGTCTACCTTCATTCTTTTGCATGTGGCTGTCCAGTTTTCCCAACACCATTTATTGAAGAGATTATCTTTTCTCCAATGTATGTTCTTGGCGCCTTTGTCGAACATTAGAAACCATAGATGTGTGGTTTTATTTCTGGGCTTTCAGTTCTGTTCCATTGATCTCTGTGCCTGTTTTTGTACCAGTACCATGCCATTTTGATCACTATGGCTTTGTAGTGCATTTTGAAGTCAGGGATTGTGATACCTCCAGCTTTGTTCTTTTTTCTCACGATTGCCTTAGCAATTCAGGGTCTTTGGTTGCCCCATGTGAATTTTAGGATTCTTTGTTCTATTTCTGTGCAGAATGTCATTGGGATTCTGATTGGGATTAGATTAAATCTGTAGATTGCTTTGGGTAGTATGGACATTTTAACTATGTTTATTCTTCCAATCCACGTGCATGGAATCTCTTTCCATCTCTTTATGTCATTACCAATTTCTTTCATAATGTTTTATAGTTTTCATTGTATAAGTCCTTCACCTCCTTACTTAAATTTATTCCTAGGTACTTTATTCTTTTAGTTGCGATTGTAAATGGAATTGTATTCTCGAGTTCTCTTTCTGTAAGTTCGTTATCAGAGTACAGAAAAGCAACTGATTTTTGTAAGTTGATTTTGTACCCTGCAACTTTCCTGTAGTTGTTAATTATTTCTATTAGGTTTCCAATGGATTCTTTGGGGTTTTCTATATATAAGATCATGCGATCAGCAAACAGTGAGAGTTTCACTTCTTCACCCCCTATTTGGATTCCTTTTATTCCTTTCTCTTGCCTAATTGCTCTGGCCAAAACCTCTAGTACTATGTTGAATAAGAGTGGCGATAGTGGGCATCCTTGTCTTGTTCCTGTTCTCAGGGGGATGGCATTCAATATTTGCTCATTCAGTATGCTGTTGGCTGTGGGTTTGTCATATATGGCCTTTATTATGTTGAGGTAATTTCCTTCTATCCCCATTTTGTTGAGAGGTTTTATCATAAATGGCTGTTGGATCTTGTCAGATGCGTTCTCTGCATCTATTGAGATGATCACGTGGTTTTTATTCCTCAAGTTGTTGACACAGTGTAACATGTTGATTTATTTGTGGATGTTGAACCATCCCTGTGTCCCTGGTATAAATTCCACTTGATCATGTTGTATGATCCTTTTGATGTATTACTGAATTCGGGTTGCCAAAATGTTGTTGAGGACTTTTGCATCTGTGTTCATCAGCAATATTGGTCTGTAGTTTTCCTTTTTGGTCTTGTTCTTGTCAGGTTTTGGTATCAGGGTGATGTTGGCCTCATTGAATGTGTTAAAGTGTTCCATCTTCCCTAAGTTTTTGGAATAGCTTGAGAAAGATAGGTATTAAATCCTCTCTGAAAGTCTGCTGGAATTCCCCAGGGGAGCCATCTGGTCCTGGGATTTTATTCTTTGGGATGATTTGATTACTGTTTCAATCTCTTTCCCTGTGGTTGGTCTATTCAGATTATCTGTTTCTTCTTGATTCAGCTTTGGGAGGTTGTAAGAGTCTAGAATTTATCCATTTCCTCTAAATTGTCCATTTAGTTGGCATATAGTTTTTCATAGTATTCTCTTATAATCCGTTCTGTTTCTGTGGTGTCTGTTGTTATTTATATTTCTCCTCTTTCATTTCTAATTTTATCTGAGCTTTCTCTCCTTTTTTCTTTGTAAGTCTGGCTAGGGGTTTGTCAATTTTATTTATCTTCTCAGAGAACCAGCTCTTTGTTTCATTGATCCTTTCTACTGCCTTTTTTGTTTCAAGAGCATTTATTTCTGCTCTGATTTTTATTATTTCTCTCTTTCTGTTGACTTTGGGCTTTATTTGTTCTTCTTTTTCTAACTGAGTTAGGTGTAGTTTGAGATTGCTTATTTGGGATTTTTCCTGTTTGTTAAGGTGTGCCTGTATTCTGATGAATTTCCCTCTTCATACAGCTTTTGCTGTATCCCATATGAGTTGGTATGGTATGTTATCATTTTCATCTGTCTCCAGATATTTTTTGATTTCTCCTTTAACTTCTTCAATCATCCATTGCTTGTTCAATAGCATGTTATTTAGTCTCCACATCTTTGTTCCTTTCTCAGCTTTTTCCTTGTAATTAATTTCTTGCTTTATAGCATTGTGATCAGAAAAGATGCTTTTTATTATTTCAATTTTCTTAAATTTATTGAGGCTTGCCTTGTTTCCCAACATATGGTCTATTCTTGAGAATGTTCCATGCGCACTTGAGAAGAATGTGTATTCTGCTGTTTTGGATGGAGTGTTCTATATATGTCTACTAAGTCCAACTGGTGTAGCTTTTCACTTAATTCCACTGCTTCCTTGTTGATTTTCTGTCTGGATTTCTATCCATTGATGTGACTGGAGTGATGAGGTCCCCTACTATTATTGTGTTATTATTATCTTCTTTTAGATTTGTTAATAGTTGCTTTATGAACTTTGGTCCTGTGTTGAGTGCAAAGACATTTCTAAGTGTTATTTCTTCTTGATGGAGTGTCCCTTTGATCATTATATGCCGCCCCTCTTTGTCTCTCTTTACCTGTCTTATCTTGAAGCATACTTTGTCTAATGTAAGTATTGCGACACCTGCTTTCTTTTGTTTGCCATTAGCTTGGAGTATCATCTTCCATCCCTTCACTCTTGAGACTGTATTTGTCACTGGAGCTGAGATATGTTTCCTGGAGGCAGCATAATGTTGGGTCTTGTTCTTTAATCCATTTTGCCACTCTGTCTTTTTATTGAAGAATTTAATCCATTTACTTTTAGGGTGATTATTGATGTATGAGGGCTTAATGCTGTCATTTTATCACTTGTTTTCTGGTTTTCCTGCATTTCCTTTGTTTCTCATCCTGTGTTTTTTGGTCTACCCATTGGATTACATAGTTTTTTATGATGTGTTTCTTTGTTTTCTCCTTATTTATTATTTGTGTCTCTTTTCCGTATTTTGTTTAGTGGTTACCCTGAGGTTTGTATTCACAATCTCGTGTATAAGATAGTCCATTTTCTGATGGCCTCTTATTTACTTATCTAAACCGATTCAGTCCCTTTCCTCCTCCCCTCCTAAGTTGTTTTTCTCACATCTTATTCCATCTTATGTTGTGAGTTTGTGATTAAAATGACAGGATTATCTTTGCTTTTGGTGTTTTCCTTCCCTTTAACTTAATGCTATACTTGAGTATTTGCTATCCCATTCTGATTCTGTCTACCTATTTATCTCCTTACTCTGTGTCTTGTGACCCCTTTCTCCCCCCCTTTTTCTTTTCCAGGTATGAGGACCTTCTTGAGGATTTCTTGTGGGGGGGGCGGTCTCATGGCTACGAAGTGCCTTAGCTTTTGTTTGTCTGGGAAAGTTTTTCTCTCTCCCTCATATCTGAAGGATACTTTTGCTGGATAGAGTATCCTTGACTGAAAATTTCTGTCCTTTAAAGATTTGAGTATGTCATTCCATTTTCTCCTAGCATATAAGGTTTCTGCAGAGAAATTTGCTGAAAGCCTGAATGGGTTCCTTTGGAGGTTATTTTCTCCTGCCTTGCTGCCCTTAGTATTCTTTCTTTGTCATTCACTCTTGCCAGTATTACTACTATATGCCTTGCAGTAGGTCTTTTTACATTGACATATCTAGGAGATCTGGAAGCCTCTTCCACACAGATTTCTCTCTCTTTCCCTAGGTTTGGGAAGTTCTCTGCTATTATTTCTTTGAACATGCTTTCTTTTCCATTCTCCTTCTCTTCTTCTTGAATAGGTATAATTCTTACATTGCATTTCCTAATTGAGTTGGATATTTCTTGGAGACCTTCTTCATTTCTTTTTAGTCTTAGTTCTCTCTCATCCTGTCTGGAGCATTTCAACATGTCTATCTTTGATTATGCTGATACGCTCCTCTATGATGTCCACTTGAGTGTTCAGGAAATCCGTATTTTGTTTTATCTCTTCCACTGTGTCTTTCATCTCTTACACTGCTGATTGATTCTTCTTTATAGTTTCAATTTCTTTTGTGAAGTAGTTCCTGAACTTGTTGAATTGTTTCTCTACATTCTCTTTTACCTTGTTGAGTTTTTTGATGATAGCTATTTTGAATTCATTGTCATTTAGATTACATATTTCTGTGTGCTCAGGACTGAATTCTGGATACTTGTCATTTTCTCTCTGGTCTGGAGATCTGATCTAGTGTTTGATCTTGCTAGAGGAGGCGGGTTGGATCTTACACATCCTGATATTATTTAGTTGCAGTTACTGCCTATCACCACTGGGTGGGGGTCAAGAGCCACGTATTCTGAGCCCTCCACCTTCAGCTGATATCCCAGGCAATGGAGTGGGCATGGGATGGGTCGGGGGAGGGGCACTTTCTCCTGCATGCTCTCCGGGCTTCCTCTATCTGCTCTCACTATCTGGTCTCCTGGGGTGTTGGCTTGATGAGGTCACCCCCCCACCCCACAAAAGCTCTCCTCCCAACTGAGGTCTTCACTCTAGGCTGCATGGGCCTTTGGGGGTCTTTACTGTTTCTACAAATGAACGTCCCCTTCCCCATTCTTTCCCTCACGGAGCATCCTGTGGTTGCAGATCGCAGTCTTTAGGGCAAGGAGTGAAGTTCTCTCTCACTCTGTTCCAGCTCCTACGAGGGGGGCTCCAGCCTCTCTGCCCTTTGTCGTTTGGCTGAGTGTGTCTCTAAGGTTTTGTGTTGTGTTAGGATGTGTAAGATCTGATCTGTAAGATGTTGGAGTATGGATGATGGAGTATGGACATCACTCTGACATACACTCTTCTTTTAATTCAAGTCATTATAACATTCAATATTGGGCTAATTTTTAACATGCTAGCAAGTAACCTTGAGTAATAAAACCATGGAATTTTGTTATTGTCTTTCTTGCTTGATATGGTGATCTAAAAATTTTTCTTAAGGACATTACTGAGGAAGTTGTGCACCACATTCTCCATGTCTTCTTTATAAGGATGACAAGAGAAATTGCTCTTTGGTGCTATGAAAAGTGGCAGTTCTAAGCAACTATATTATAGATGGCTGGGCTCCTAAGACTGGTGCGATTTCTCTGTTTGATTGGCTGACAGGAAGCTCAAAGATAAATCGCAAATCTAAGCTTTAAGTAAGGAAGCAGAATCCCAGTGTGTTACATGATGCACCAATATCACCCTTGACTTCATATTACTTTTTCTGCCTCTATACTTCCTGATTTCTTCATTTTATTCTTTCAAAAGCTTATTGTATTATACTTATTTTCATAAGCTGCCTTTTTGAACAGGATGGAATTTTTTAAAAAGGCAGGGTTGGGTAAGATGTGAGTTCCACTTCCTTTTTCCAGTTATACCATTATCAGCTGTGTGACCTTAGGTAGGTGACTTACACTTTCTGTCCTTCAGTTTTTTCATGTATAACGAGCAGATAACATCCTTCCTCCCAACCAAACAAGGATTTTGCTATGGCACCAAAAGACAGCATGTGGGAAAGTACTCTGAATAGCAAAAAGTGCTATAAAAAATGCCAGGAAGACTGCACACCACATTCTGTCACCCTAACTGATAAAATACATTAATACCAATTTCAAAGAACAAATAACTTTCCTAAAGTATAGTAACCTGATCATACATTGTTTTCTGTAGGAGTCCTTTACTGTCCAGCAATTTTAAGACTTCTTGAGATTTTTCACGATAAAATGATTCCCCTGAGTATTCATCAAAGTGTACTCCTAGACGCTAAAAGGGTTCAGAAACAAAAGAAAAACTGGTTACTTAAATGTCCTATTATTTTCCCCTAAGACAAAATAGAATGTCCTACAGTCTGTCACAAAGATAGGGAAAATAAAAATTAGATCAATCACTCCTCTGCTCCACCTTCCAACAGCTCCCCCGACCCAGTCAAGTCCTCACAATGGTCCTGTGCTGTACAATATAGTAGTCACCAGGCACATGTGGTTATTTTAATTCAAATTAAATAAAACTGAAAATTCAGTTTCTCAGTCACACTTCTCACACTTCAAGTGCTCAATAGCTACATGTGACTACTGGCTACCACATTGGTTAACGTGGATACAGACATTTCCATCAGAGCAGGAAGCTAGACTGGACGGCCCTGGACAATGTCCTACATCATGCCTCACCCTACAACTTCTTCAGCCTCTCCTACTGTTCTCATCTTGCTTTCCTGCTCCAACTACATGGGCTTCTTTACTGAAACTCTCCTAATTTTACCCACAGACAGCACACCTGGTCTCCCCTTCCCAGCTTCATTTTTCTCCATAGCATCATCACCATCTAACAGACTATATATGTTCTTGGTTAATTTGCTTTCTTTAATTCACTCCCTGTCTCCCTGCTAGAAGGTAAAGTTCACAAGAATAGGACTTTTATCTCTTTCATTCACTGTTACATTCCTCCCCAGTCCCTAAAATGTGCATTAAATGAATGAATTTACACACATCACACATGGCCCAAGGAAGCAAAAGAAGAAAAACTGATTAAGAAAAAGTGAAGGGATGATAGATGGGAGAGAAGAAAACCCAGACTGAAATGAAATACCAGAATGTCACCTGATATTCAGTCTGTGAAATTCACAGGACTCAGGATTATCTTATAGTTCTTTCAGCCCAAAGAACAATATTTGAGTCCTAATTTTCAACCTAATGATAAATCTCTTTTTAAAACATGGGCTTAAGAAGCCAGCTTTACTACCCAGCAGTACCAGTCAAGAGCTCATCGCATCACAGGAGAGCAGAAGGGAGGGCAGGCAGGTGGTACCTTGTAAATCCGAACATACTCTTCTATGCTCAAGTCCCGAAACTTCTGCCAGAGTGCAAGTGCTTGCATGTCACCCAGTTCCAATCGCTGGAAGAACTCACGTGCTGATTTTGCTACACTTTTATCATCTGCTGCTTCTTTATTAACTTGTACATAAACCTAAAAGCACGATAGTACATTAAACGAAGTACGTTACTATTCACTGTTATCTTGAATAAAGAAAATAAGAAAACAAAACACAATCCTGAGAATTCTCATTGAAAGGTTAGCCAACTGTCCTTATCACAGAGTATAACTTTTTCTTTCCTTTTGTTGCCATGGGCCCTTAGTGAACTCTATGGACCCCGTGTCAAAATGTTTCTAAATGCATAATAAAGTCAAATACATGGGATAACAAAGGAAATAATTACACTGAAATACAGTTATACAAATATTTTTAAAAATTAATTTGTGATATAGTAATGGAAAATGCTAAATTTCTGGTAGCTGTTGGTGAAAATAATGAGTAATTTTTTCTTCCCACCCAAGTTCACACACCCTTAGGTTAAGAATGCCTGGTTTAGATTAAGCTAACATTTCTTCTTTTTTTTAAAAAAAAAAAAGTCAAATTATTATTGCTGCAACTTCTCTGAGAAAGGTTTAAAAAAGTAGGATGACTCAATCTGGCAAAGAAAAGGTCAAAAGATGATTTAGCAGTTGTTTCAATGAAAGATTTTTTAAACTGTTCATAAATCTGCAAGAGACCAATGTAAAACAGGTGATCTAGGAGGATGATTTAGCAGTTGTTTTAATGAAAGATTTTTTAAACTGTTCTCTAAATCCGCAAAAGACCATTGTAAAAGAGGTGACCTAGGATGACCTGGATAGTTCACTTAATTACCCTCCAGCCTGGGCTCCTGAGAACTGTGTGGAGCACTCACGTCTGGAGTGTTTCACACCATCTGTCTTGGCTGGTTTAGCTCTAGACTCCCCCCACCCGCCAGTGACCAGAGCAGAGCTGGATGGCTTATTAAGGGCTCTTCCAGCTCTAGGATTGTGTGTTCACAATGCAGTAGTTAATAATTTCCCAGGCTCCAAAATGCAAGGTTAATAAATGACATTAAAATATCAACATTATAGCTCAAACAGTATGAAGTTATGGATATGGACTATAAAGATTTTACTTACAAGCTGTAACTCACTTCCAGGTTGAAACATGAATGATAAATTTACTATCCTCGTATTTCTTCTAGAAAGGTATTAAAGTAGCATGAAAGTAATAAAAATTGGCAAATAAACTACCAAAAAAATATGAGGCCTCTAAACTCTTACAGTAATATCATCAAAATATCACGGCAGCAGCATTTGGGTAGAAAAAAGTGATTTTATTGCTGGAGAATACACTGGGTAATTGAGTAAGCCTTAATGTGGCTTATACCCATGATATACTGCCAACAAAAGAGACAGGGCATTAAACATCTATCTCAAGGTAGATCTCATCTTTAACAGATGGCTTATATTAATTACTGGAATGGCAGACTTGAATGAATAAATACTCCTAAATAAAAGTTAAAAGTACCTAATATTTCTTCCTCTTTAAAGCATATTGTACAGAAAAGAGTTAACATAGCAGGCCTGAGACTGCCATCTTTAAATGTCCTGCTTGCAAGGTTAGCCCTTGGCTGCCATCTGGCAACTTGGATTTTGGGTATGTTCCTACCAACCTAACTGATGAGTGGCTCACTGTGCCTAAAACTGTCTGTGTGAATAATATGGTTTATTCTGAACACTGGCTTTCCCTCTGAGAGTTTGGAATTTTAGTCCCTGTTAAGCAGAAGGTACCTACATGATCAACTTCCAATGGAAACCTTGGGCATGGAGCATCTAATGAGCTTCCCTGGTAGACAACATTTCATACATGTTGTCACAATTTGTTGCTGGAGTAATTAAGTGGATTGTGTGTGACGTCACTAGGAAACAACTCTTGGAAGCTTGGCCTGGTTTCCTCCAGGCTTTGCCCCATGTGCTTTTCCCTTCACTAATGTTGCTCTGTATCCTTTCACTGTAATAAGTCATAGCTGTGAGTACAAATATATGCTGAGTCCTTTGAGTCCTCCTGGTGAATTGCCAAACCTGGCAGTGGTCTTGGGAGCCCTGACACACATATCATGAAAAATTAATTTCCACATGGTCCTATGAATAAATCCAGAGTAATGTATGCAATGCCAATTAGAAAACAGAGAAACAAGATTTTGGTAAGGTGTAGGAAAACTGAGAGAGAGTCACTGTAAGATAACAAACTGCAGACTTCCTGACTGTTGAATGACCTACCCACTGACAAATGCTGAATAGTCCAGCCGACAGGAGTAAAAACATATAGGCATACCTCAGAGATACTGGGCTCCAGATCAACACAATAAAATGAGTATCACAATAAAGCAAGTCACACGAATTTTTTGGTTTCCCAGTGCATATAAAAGTTATGTTTATACTATACTGTAGTCCCTTAAGTGTGAAATAGCATCATGTCTAGGTAAACAATACACATACCTTAATTAAAAAATGCTTTATTCCTAAAAAATGCTAATCATCACCTGAGCCTAAAGCGAGTTATCATCTTTTTCCAGGCAGAGGGTCTTGCCTTGATGTTCATGGCTGCTGACTGATCAGGATGATGGTTGCTGAAGGCTGGGGTGGCTGTGGCAATTTCTTAAAATAAGACAAGGAGGTTTGCCACATCAATTAACTCTTCCTTTCACGATATCTCTGTAGCATGCAACGCTGTTTGATAGCATTTTACCCACAGTAGAATTCTTTGAAAATTTGAGCCAATCCTCTCAAACCCCTGCCACTGCTTTATCAACTAAGTTTACATAATATTCTAAATCCTTTGTGATTTCAACAATTTTCACAGCAACTTCACCAGGAGTAGATTCCATCTCAAAAAACCACTTTCTTTGCCTATCCAAAAGAGGCAACTCCCCATCCGTTAAAGTTTCATCATGCTATTGCAGCAATTCAGTTACATCTTCAGGGTCCACTTCTAATTCTAGCTCTCTTGCTATTTCCACCACATCTGCAGTTACTTCCTCCACTGAAGTCTTGAACCCCTCAAAGTCATCTATTAGGGTGAGAATCAACTTCTTCCAAACTCTTGTTAATGTTGATATTTTGACCTCTTCCCATGAACCACAAATGTTTTTAGTGGCATCTGGAATGGTGAATCCTTTCCAGAAGGTTTTCAATTTACTTTGCCCAGATCCATCAAAGGAATCACTATGACAGCTATGGCCTTACAAAATGTATTTCTTAAATAATAAGACTTGAAAATTGAGATTACTCCTTGATCCGTGGACTGCAGAATGATGTGCTAGTAGGCATGAAAATAACATTAATCTCATTGTACATCTCCATTAGAGCTCTTGGGTGACTAGGTACACTGTCAATGAGCAGTGATACTTTGAAAGGAATCTTTTGTTCTGAGTAGTAGGTCTCAACAGTGGGCTTACAATATTCAGTAATCCATGCTGTAAACAGATGTGCTGTCATCCATGCTTTGTTGTTCCACGTACAGAGCAGAGGCAGAGTAGATTTAGCACAATTCCTAAGGATCCTGAGATTTTCAGATTGGTAACTGAGCATCGGCTTCAACTTAAAGTCACCAGCTGCATTAGCCCCTAACAAGAGTCTGCCTGTCGTGTAAAGTTTTGAAGCCAGGCATTGACTTCTCTCTGGCTATGAAAGTCCTGGATGGCATCTTCTAGTATAAAGTCCTTTTGTCTACAGTGAAAATCTGTTGTTTAGTGTAGCACCTTCATTAATTATCTTAGCTCGATCTTCTGGATAACTTGCTGCAGCTTCTACATCAGCACTTGCTGCTTCCCCTTGCACTTTTCTGTTATGGAGACAGCTTCTTTCCTTTAACCTCAAGAACCAACCTCTGCCAGCTCCAAAATTTCTTCTGCAGCTTCCTCACCTCTCTCAGCCTTCATGGAATTGAAGAGAGTTAGGGCCTTGCTCTGGATGAGGCTTTGTTTTAAGGGAATGTTGTGGCTGATTTGATCTATCCAGATCACTAAAACTTTCTCCATATCAGCAGTAAGGCTGCTTCACTTTCTTACCATTGGTGTGTTCACTGGACTAGCATTTTTAATTTCCTTCAAGAACTTTTCCTCTGCATTCACAATTCAGCTAACTGGCACAAGAGGCCTAGCTTTCAGCCTGTCTCAGCTTTCGGCATGGCTTCCTCACTAAGCTTAATCATTTCTAGCTTTCAATTTAAAGTGAGACACGTGTGACTCTTCCTTTCACTTGAACACACAGAGGCCATTGTAGGGTCATTAACTGGCCTAATTTCAATATTGTGTCTAGGGAATAGGGAGGCCTGAGGAGAGGAAGAGAGAGAGGGGAACGGCCGGTCGGTGGAGCAGTCACAACACACACAATGTTTATCAATTGAGTTCGCCCTTGTATACGGGTGTGGTTCGTGGTGCACCAAAAACGACGACAATAGTAACAAAGATCAATGGTCGCACATCACTATAACAAGTATAAAAAGTTTGAAATATTGCGAGAATTACCAAAATGTGACACACAGACACTGAGCAAATGCTGTTGGAAAAATGAAACTGACAGACTTGCTTGACGCAGAGGTGCCAAAAACTTCAATTTGTAAAAAATGCAGCATCTGTGAAGCACAATAAAACGAGGTATGCCTGTACATGTGTGTCCATAAATGGTTTGTGATTCCACATCTCTCTCTCTCACACACACACACACACACACACACATATACATGGGTGTGGGCACACAATTTATAAGCAAATATATACAAAACGTCCTTATTTTCAGAAAAGGTTTTAGCTAGTTTTTTTTTAAAATCTAGGACTTTAAACTCAAATAGCCAAACATTTAAAAATGTGATATGCATTCAAACCATTGAGAAGAATATTTTTAGGAAAAATTTCACCAGAATCTTTTCCCTTTCTTAAAATTTAAAATAGAAATAATTAAAACACAAAAACTCTTCATACTACTTGAAAAATCTTGGCATTTCAGCAATTTGTACTTATAAACCAAACATTACTGAAAATCAACTGACACTATCAAACAGAACAATAGAAGGGTCTTAATTAGCACTTAACAATCTGCGTGTAAATGTACAAGATAAAACTATGTTA